GTGAACATTATTGTACATCATGAGGATCATATGCCATCATGGTTGCCAAGCAGCAAAGTGTTATATATTGGGAGACTACTTTTTCAATTTAGGCAGACTGCCAGATGGTTTGGTCTCTTCTCTCCGTGGCAGACTCCTTGGAGCATATGTTATCCATCCAAATGACATAGATTTTAGTAACTGCGTTTACTTCTTTGGTATCTGGAGATTGTTTAAATACTAATCTGAAAGGATTTGATTGAAAGAATTCTTGTAATGACATGTTTTATTTCTGAAAACAGACATCCAAGCCTTCTTCTTGAAACCAGGCCCTTTTGATCATTTGGATAGCTTCTCAGTGCAACATTCTGAGCTGGGTTTTTTTTGCATGTGATTGTTCATCTTATACTCAGGAGTTCCAAATCGCATCCCCGAATTTCCTTCAGCCTTGGGAGACAGTTCAGTGTCAGGACTTCACCAGATAAGTAAGCTGTGTAGTGAGACACATTGGTTAGTTCACTGCATTTTTGTAGTTTTAATATTCTTGAACGAACTGCACATACACAGGCCTAATGTAGAACTGAAAAGACCAGGGGATTAATTGAATCTACAATTTCCACGTGTCGAAAAGACTTTAACGTACCGCTTAGTCCATCCTCGTGGTTTGTAGCAGGACCAGTTACTGAGATTGGTCTTGAGTGATAGTGGATGAAGCTGGTATTTGATTAACCTTGTGTTAAAATCCCTGCAACTGTAGGTATTCAGCATGACCTCAGCACCCTCTTTTAATAGTTAGCTGGAAGGCTTTCTTCAATATCTGTTTGAGGTTCCCATCTTTTGAGATCTGCAAAACCCTGCCTAGTTTCTTATTATACTGGTTAGTACTTGGAGTACACAAGAAGTGATTAATTAATCACTTTTTATAATTTTAACATAAAGATTTGCACACAGGCTTTGCATACAAAACAAGTTTTCTTCACTGGAGAGTAAGAACTAAAAATCATATTTGCTCATATTTAACAGGCTATGCTGTTTTGGAGCATCAGCAATGTGTAGCTTTGTTTAAGGGATAGGTGTAGTGACACAGGTGAAAAATCTGAGTAAACTGATGAAGTTGAAAATCCTAAGATCCCTCCTCAGTGCCTGTCAGGGCAGGAAAGTGTGGTCAATGCCAGGGCTGGCTTCTTGGGCTATGAAGCTGCTACTGGGGCCAGGTACAGGCAGCGCAAGTGATGATAACTTTGGGTATTGCACTGGCTCTTCTCCAGAATCTTCATGAATTTCAGGAAACAAATGATTCCCAGTGAGTGGCATTGTGAAAATGACTGGGAACACAACACAGTCTCATAAGATGTTCCCTGGTTATCCTAGTCCAGGAGATGTCATCATTCTGATTTCACATTTGCCCCTAATTTAGGCGATTTTATCTAAGGTTACAGTTCTCTTCAACTCGTCTAACAATTGGCTTCAATTTCACATCTGGCCCTTGATCAGAATAATCTTCAAAGTTCTCCATCCTTTTAACCACTTCGTCTTCTACCCACTTCTAATTTCTCTCCTACTTATCAGTACATCTCAGAATCTTTTAATTTTCTTTCCCTCTCCTTGCTCTTAACCTCATCAAATACTCTTGTTTCTGTGGTGGAATTGGGAATTGAAAGCATCAGTGCTTTTGGATGAGATATATGGTAGGAAAACAGTTTTTTACTTTCAAACAGCTCTGCTTCTGCTTTTGTTGGAGAAAGTTGCAAAGTTTCATAAAGCAAGGTCAATAGATGAGCAAAATATAAAAGGTCTACAAGTGTCAAATTCATAACTCCAAAGGAATGCAGAATATAGATCCAAGTACTTCTGATTCCATGTGTCAAATCTGCATGTGGTCTTTGATTTTCTGTAGTGTATGCAGATGGCAGCGATGCAGGAATCTCAAGGTTTGCGAATGCAGAGCAGCAAGGCGAGAGAAGTATACTCACAGCCACTTTCTCCCCACTTTCCGAACCATGATACAGTGTGGCCCCTTTTTGAATGTGACCTGTAGTATTTGGCTGGGTGATACTATTGCCCTGAAACATGACATTTGGTTTTAGGTGATTACTTTATCATAGTTTTATTAGTTTGGTTTTTTTTTTATTTTATTTTACTCTTGACATAATTAATTTCTCAGAATGATGCCAATTCTTTCCAGTTCTAAGCTTTTAATAGCAGATCAGCAGCAGCTTTCGAGAAGCATGTATTTATTCATTATAACAAGGTACCTACCAAAGAGCCCATTTCATTGTTTGGTTTTGTTAAGGCAAGAAAAGAATAAGCTAAAAGAGAATCTACCCCTAGTTCATCAAGGCTGCAAACTACACAGTGATTAGGAAAGAGAATTTCAACTTCCCACGTTTGTGGTGACAGGAAAGTTTTGTCTTTTTGGTGGGTTGATAGCTTTAGGAGATTGCAGTAAATCTGTTAAAATGCCTGTCATATCAACAACATAAATTGTGATGGGCTGTTTTGCACTAGGGAGGCCTTGCTAACAGAAAGCCTTCCATCAAATTCCTACCATGAGCACAAGACTCTTTTGGCAAATGATTCGCAGCCTCAGAGAGCAGCATGGATACCAGCACAGCCTGGTCAGTGTGAGGTTGATCTGAACTGTTGCTTCTCCCACATTCTGTGTCTTCCCCCCTGCTTCCACTGCGGTGTAAGACTTTGCAAGCAGGGGTCTGTGACATGACAGACTGAGATAGATTTGTTTGGAGGGATTGGAGTATCTGAGGGAAAAGATCTTTTGTGTCTTTTTTATTTATAATCTCGCTTGCTTTCAACAAAATTCAATGAAATGGCAAATGAGCTGATGAAATGTGGGTTGGTTATCCCACTGTGAATCCAAGGACAGCTCTTTTTGCCCTCAAGTAAAGCAGAAAAAATAGGAGCAGCTTTTATTCAAAAGATGTAAGCAAGGCTAAAACTTGATCCTTCAGGTGCCAGGGAATTTTTATGTGGTGATTATAGATTTTGGACTTTTGAGGATCGCCACGAACAGTCACAAATTAACAGGGTCACAACCGTGGTTTTTACAATCCCACCTCAGGCTCTAGAGCTGTTGTTGATGGTCAGTGTGCTGTTGCTGGGTGACACCTGCGGGTCCTTTGTGAGGGCATAGGGCTGGTTCCAGCGTTGCCCCAGCGCAGGGCACCACTGAGCCTGTCAACAGGGATGGTGGTGCCTCTGGGGAAGGGGCAAAACGCTGCTTGGGGTGAGCAGAGAGGGTGTGAGAGCGTGTGAGCCCGAGGGGAGGAGGAAGAAGAGGAGGAAAGGGAAGAATTATAAGAAGGGCTGCATGCACTGGAGCAGGACTGCTCAGAGGACCCCGCGCTGGAGCAGGTGGGTATGTCCTGAAGGAACCTGCAGCCTGTGGAGAGGGAACTCAAGCTGGACCAGAGGAAAAGTGCGAGGAGGAGGAAGGAGCTGCAGAGAGGAGCTGTTAGTTCCTGTCCATAACCCTTTGCTCGCCATCCCCCTGTGCTGCTCTGGGAGAGAAGGCAGAGGAGTTGGGAATGAAGGAGTGAAGCTCCCCTGGGGAAAAGCGGGAGGGAGAGAAGGTGTGAAGTTGTATTCACATTCTGGAACTAGCAACAGTTCTTTTTCACTGTGTTGGTTCTACTTTGGGATTCAATCCCAGTGAATGCGCAGAGAGGAAGGATCTCCAAGAGATCCCCTGGCAACCCTGTCCTCACTTTGGTATGTCTGGAAATATGCAAAATCTCATAAAGAGGATTTCTATGTAACTTTCCTGGAACGTTGAGTAGTCCTCCACTGTGAGATTCTGTCTGCACTAAGGCTGGTTATAGAGTTTGCATAGTCAAGAAAATCTTGGGTATTGGGCAGGCTGTGAGAAACCTGGGATTATGTTTTTCTTTTAAAGTCAATGACCCAATGCAAGAAGTCTATACTGTGAATTGAAACAATTATGCAAAGTGCTTTGTTCTCAGTAAAAACTCCGTTGTCTTTGATCTTCTGTAGTCTGTATCCCTGTCTGTGTTAACTTCTGAAATTGTAATGCTGTTATTAAAGATCCAGTAGAAATGAAATGTAAAATCAAAATACCAAGAGCATACAGATAAGTGAAAAATCTACAACAGCAGTAACTCAAGGAGCAGGTAGAGAATACAGAACAGATTGTCTGCAAAAAGACCCTTCTCATGCAAATATATTGTTCAGACATGTCAAAACCTGAGAAATATACTTAGCAATTACAAGTCTGTGATGAAGACCTTAATGATATAGCTGGTAGTTACATGAGTAATGTTTTCTCCGGTGTTTTGTGCAAAGTGAATCTACTGGACTCAGAAAGGAACTTGAGACAGTTTCAAACCTCTGTACTTTAGAGATATTTTTCTCTCCATGCCAGCTTTCCAAAATATTGAAGATCTTCCATGTAAAGTGAAACAAGATTATTGACAGCTAATGTTTGATTAAAAGTTCTCATAATCCTTAGCTACACTGATAGCTCAGCCACTTTATCACCATCCTGGTGCGTAGTAAGAAATGTTACATGTTGGGTTTTCTGTTTCACAGCACATTTACAGTAGACTGAGGTTGAATATTCTGTAAACAACCAGCTTAAAGTTGGGTATCTGGAACTACTTTGCCAAGAGAAAAGCCTTGAGAGATTCTGGGTTACAATGAGTGTGACAACAAGGTTTCTACTGTTGCTGCCCAATTTTTAGAAGTAGGTGTGCATTTCAAGCATGTTTTTTTAAGTGACTGCAAAATGCTCATGTCCAAAGTGCTCTATCTCCTACCTCCCCAGTTAGCATAGTCAAAATACCTTCATCCTTCTGAAAATGAATATTCATATAATTTGTCCATGAGTAATAGTCACACAAATATAAAGCTTCTTTGAAAGTTTTTCCTCGTAGGTTGCAATACATTTCTTCCTAGATCTATAGATAAACCAATAAGATGTTTGAAGTCTGTATTCCAAAGTGGATACTTATAATTGTTTGTTTATTTTTTCTTTTTTTCCCCAGTGAAATTTGATGACTGCAAGGGGAATAATAAATTGACCTTTGAAGTTTCTAACCCAGATTTTAAGGTGGAACGCGATGGAACTTTAGTTGCACTAAAGAATATGTCAGAAGCTGGCAGAACCTTTTTTGTCCACGCACAGTCTGAACATGCTGAGGATCTGGCAGAAATTTTGATTGTTGAAGAAAAGGAAAAACACAGTGCATTAAAGGTAAGACATGTACAAAAGATTAGAAGAAAGTGCCAGGAGATGCTGCTGGGTATTTACATGTGCTGTCTAGGACTGTAAGTGGTTTTAATCTGTTAGCAGATATCAAAATCAGTCTTCAATCCAGATACTGCCGTAATGTTTTAGTACTTAGTTTAATTTAAAATACAGATTTTCCAGGTTTTGAAAAATGTATTACATCTTCAGGCATAAATGCTAAGCATTCATAAAGAAATGATTCAACGCAAAGAGCCCCAAAATTGACGGGTTCTTCTGGTGTACATTAAGCCAGAGGACCACAGTTTGGCCATAACTGAAAAAGAAAATCATAGTCTAAATGTGTAATTCAGAATTTACAGAACCTTCACATTCATTCCAAGTCTTAAGTGCGTGGAATTGAATTCTGTGCTGTGGAATTTAAGTTTTTGTATAGGTCTGCTTACCTGGCATTGCCTTGTGTTAAAATACATTAACATCTGCCCTCAAATAGCAGCACATCACTTGCACCCTGCCTCTATGGGCTAGTGATTTCTGTTCCATTCTGTCCACTGAATGATGTGTCCTTTTCTTTCCACTTCTGGATTTCAGTGTAATACTAATCTCAGACTAAGGGGAGAAGTGCTTCACAAATTGGTTGTTTACTTCACCTCCATGAAAGTAAGGAAAGGAAACATAAAATAGCCTCTGCTTGTGTGTCAGGGTGTTTAGGAGACAGGCAAGCAAGGCTTACTGGACAATTAAGCCTGGTACCTTTACAAATCTACAATTTCAAGGAATTATAAAGAAGCCATGATAAAAATGACTGATCTGTTGTCTTATTTGGGTGTTTCAACTTTTAGCTACCAGCATTGTCATTGTATTTCCACAATAGCTTAGTATAACTTCCTTTTTCCATTAAGAAAACCCAGAAAAGTTACATTTAGGGGAAAGGTTGAACAACCTTCTGACAGTCCATGGCTGTGGAAAGGTTTTGGTCTGCACTTTGAGCAGCACATGATGTGAATATAGATTGCCAGCAGGAGAGAAAGTACCAGAATGCATAACTACAGAGAGCTGATCAGAACACTTAAATGAATTTAATTGTATTAATATATGCTGTTTCTTCACAAAGTAAAGTTTTAACAGAGTCATACTTAAGTGAGTCTTTTACATGGTGGAGCCATGGATTTAGCTCCTGCCAAATTCAGGGTAGGAAAGCTGCACTTGCAGGAGCTGGGCACTTGTATGTCTTGTGTCTAAAACTAGCAAGCCGTGCTCCTTCTGGTGCATTCACAAGAACATTCAAATGATTTCATTTTCACTCCAGGTTTTGAAATCTTAGGAGCAGTTTCAGAATGGAGATTCTCATTCCCCGGTTAGAAGTTGGTGAAACCACAGAGGAGTTTGAGATGTTTCTGACAGGAAGTCTGGAGTTAAACTTCAGGGAATCATTTTATGTGTGAAGATCTGACTCCCTGAGAATCATATTCTGAAGTTTTATTTTGGTTTTAGTAGGGAAGCAGCCCTTCAGTGTCTTTGAGAGGAGGTATTCCATGGAAGTTACAATCTAGGGGAATTAAGAAGTGTGTATTTACATAGACTATGACATGGCTTTGCTGGTGACCTTTTCCCTTTATGTCTTATTTGGGTTCTGGTAGTCTCCCCTCAAAACGTTCCAGCAATATTAATTAATGCCTAGTGTTGAAATCTATCACCAGACTACATTCAAAAGCCAAGTCTAATTTGGCCCCACTCCCAGATTCTGTTCCAATCACTTTGTGTTGCTTCAGAGAAAGCCAGTCTGAATCTGACATATTCTGCCACTTGCCAGTCTTTCTTTGTAGGTGACTCCTCAAAGCAGCATCACAGTGTCATCTCTATCTGCATTCATCACTTCTTTATGGACTTTGATATTCAGCTCATGACTAGAAGGTTACCCATTTTAGTGTGGTCATCCTTGGCGCCTGCAGTGCCATTGGGAGTTACATGATGTATTAATGTGTCCTAGGAAATCCTTCTAGTGAGGATCATCCCCTTATTGAGGGGAATATAAAGATCTTTGAGGCTGACTGTCCTAGTCTGGCCTCAGGCAGTACTCTGTTGCTGTTTGTCCTGGGTTCAGCAGTAGCAGTCATGTTTCTCCTCCTTGGTAGCTGGTGCAGTGCAGTGTTTTGACTTTCGGCTCGGGAACAGAGCTGATAGAGATGTTTTGGTTTGGCCAAGGACTTTGTGAGCCTCACGCTCTGCCAGGGGGGGAGGGCAAGCCAGGAGGAAGCAGAGACAGGACACCTGACCCAAACTGACCAAAGAGGTATTCCATACCACAGCACGTCATGCCCAGGATGTAACTGGGAGTTAGCCGGAAGGGCTGGGAGACTGCAGGGTTGGAGGAGGTATCGGTCAGAGCTTGGTCGGGCTTGGGGGGCGAGTTATCGGTCAGCGGGTGGTGAGGTGTTGTATTCTGTTCCCTTGTTATTTCCTTTATCATTATTATCATTGGTGGTAGCAGTAGTGATTTGTGTTATACCTTAGTTACTAAACTGTTCTTATCTCAACCCGTGGGAGTTGCATTCTTTTGATTCTCCTCTCCGTCCCTCCGAGAGCAGGGGGAGGGCAAGAAAGGGGGGGAAGTGAGCGAACGAATTACCTGACTGGGTTTAAACCACGACACTGTTAAATCAATATTTTTTTTTACCAGCCATTTCAGCTATTGTTTGCCCATTTTAAACACAACAGACAGTCTTGTCTCTGTTTGTCACACTTGAGAAGGATATAAAAAATACAGAGCCCAATCTAAAGTGATTTTATGATAAATTTGAACTTAATCCTGTACTTTTGCAATCAAAATGTGTCATCATGGAAACAGCAGAACTGCTCCATCTGTTTATGCAAGTAGTTTTGGCTAAGAAATGCTCAGATGGAGCCTTTGTAATTCAGGAGCCTTAGTAATTCAGCATAATTCTGTAGGGTTAAGATGAGTGCATGTTAGAACACTGCTTAGCATCAGTACTTAGAATACAGTAGCTTATTTAATTAGGGGATAAGTAGTTCTTAAGTATTTCCCCACTGCCAGGAAGTGCCATTTCTTTTCTGAAAGCATGTAACCTACATCTGTGAAATCCCATTGTTAATGTTTCTAAATTCAGATTCCCAACATGTTTGGAAATGACTTTCAACAATGATCTCTAATATGCTGACTGGCAGTCTGAGCCTGGGAAGATATAGCATAATTCTTAAAACTCACTGATTGCTACCAACCATACTTTAGATGAATATGGAAAATATTTAGAGGTCCAGTCTAGAGCATGCAGAAAAGCTTTTGGCATTCTAGTGATGGAGGGGTGTGGTTTGTTCCTGATGAAGATAGGCTGGCCTCACTGATCAGTCCTACATGATTAACTTCATGGCCATAGCATAATCAAGGGCTGTTAGAATAGCACTCACTGCTTTAATGTTGCTTATTGTGTCTGAAGGGCATGTTGTCTTACTCTTGTGCCAGAAGTGTATTAGATCTGCAGAGCCTGCAGCTTTCTGTCAAAGGGTGGCCATGACTACAGTATGAGAGGATAGATGGTTCCTCAACATCATCAGCCAACTTGGCTCTTGCTCTCTGATCACAGAATCTTTTGCAGGGTCAAATGACAGAAAAGCAAATTCAGCATCGCTGCTTTTCCAGAAGTCTGGATGTTTCTGCAAAATACCCTAAACCCCACGAATATCTCTACCTACAGATACGCATACATGCTATTGAGAACAAAAATCTGTACATCAGATTACAGTTAGATTGCTTTCTACAACCTGTTTTTAATGCTCCTTTCCTCCATGGTTTTGGCTAGATAAACAGCTTTCTGTCCATCTTGGCAGAGGGAAGTCTTCATATAAAAACTGCTGTGATTTTTGAGAGACATGTAAAATATGAGTGCACAGATTTGCCATGGGCCTGTGTAAGGCATAACATTACAGTGTTATCTTTGTAATAGCTGTGTGTGTATATGCTTGTACCCTCAGGCAATCAGAGTGCTCAATACAGGAAATGAAGTTCACTTGCATTCACTGGTGGCGCTGGGTGAGGCATGTACATCTGTGGTCCTGCTCTGCTTAGCCCAGTGTTTGATTCATACTTTTTCACACAGTCAGGACTTGAATGCTTAGTGATATTAAAAATAGGCAAGGAAATATTTTGATTCACCCATGATCCTAAAATGAACTTTGGGTTCATTTGGAATACTTCATAGAATTGCTAAGGTTCAGATTGCAAATGGAAAAATGAATCCCTTGCAAACCCTAGTTGGGAACAAGCTGAGCTGATAAGTGACAGTCTTTCTTTTTTTTTTTTTTCTTATGTCTTATCCAATGTTTGATCCCTGCTTTGTCTTATAGAACTAGTAAGACAACAAAAAGCTGGAAATTTCATCAGATCTGATAATTTGACCAGACATTAGTGTATTTATTTCAGTTGTCTGGTTTTGTGGAAGACAAAGTATAGCCAATTTTTTGTAGAGCCTCATAGCAGATTGTGAGTTACAAAAGGCAGCAAGCTGGGAATTGAACTGTGTCTTCCAAGGCTAAATAATGGCTGCCTACTGTTTCTCCTCCCCCTCTGTAATCTAGTGCTGGCTTTAATGAATATGCCGTTAGTACACTGGGAACTAAAAGAAAACCTTGGGAAACAATATTTCTCTGTCTTTTTTTTTGTGTATTGCCAAATGCAGCTTGCACCCCTTCCCACCAAAGGAAGAGATTTTATTTGTTACACCATCACAGACACAGGGAGGGGAGGGGCATGAGATATCAAGAGTCTGGCACCAAAGCAGGTAAGAGGGCATGAATGTACTCAGAAATTCCAGTCTGGTAGTAACTTCTCTGTGTGGTGCTCAGCAGCCTTCCATACAGAAGGATGAAATGATTAAACAGAAACTGTCAAACCCTCAGGACACTTTTCAGGCACTAGATGGAAAAAGAATAAGAGAAAGAAAAAAAGAGATAAGAGGGAGGAACACACCCAGAGACAGCATGTTGTAGAC